TTTTGCATCGGTGGAACTGGAACGGGAACGCGTTACATTTTTACTGAAACGGAAATAGAAACGGCGTTTCTTTCCTTTGTCCAGTGGGGTAATTTTATTTTATTTCAAAGACGAAAATATTTAAAGTATAAAAACTATATATTTACGAAGAGTAGGATCTGGTTAGCTTTTTGGTTATTTATCTTAGGGTTTATTTTGTATGGTCCTCGCTTGGTAACAGTTGGGTGAAGGAAAGCTTGTGGACATCAATTCTTTTTTCAGTACCCGAGACTACAGTACAAGAAACAACACTGTTATGATTATAATTCAATTAAAAGGAAAGGTGCAATCGAGCTGTACAAAAATGGTGAAAATAATTCATGAATAAGGATAGTTGGTAGAGCGCTCCATTGGAAATGGAGAGGTCCCGGTGTTTCGAGAAATGTGTTTCTGCTTTGTCCCTTTGTTCCCCTTCTCCATGAATTATTTTCGGCAAAACTGTTAGTCGAACAAGATTGACACAGAAAGAGGGACGTTTCAAACTCAGTCTTTGCTTCCACGAATCCTTATACACTCATAAATCTAAGGCCGACTACAACCATCACTGAACTTCCACAGGAAGATCTACAGTGACAACAAAAACAACAAAAATACAGGTTACCAAACATCGAATACACCCTTGTATCCTGAACATTGGTAACTTAATAGCTTTTTTCTTTGCTTTCACGAGTTCTTATACACCCAGAAATCTAAGGTCGACTACCGCCCTCACTGAACTTCCGCAAAGAGACCTACAGTTGCAACAAAATGACAGGTTACCGAACATCGAACACACTTTTGTATCCCGAACATTTGTCATTTAAAGGATACATAAGAATTAATCATTATTCATTCTCCCCTTGTCCCCAACCTTCAAAGTGTACAACGAATTCAACCTTCACGAGGAAGGACTTGTAGCTTTCAAGATTGACCTTTCAAAAGCCCTACCCTCTTCTTCATTTGCTCGCCTTGCGGACAGCAGCATCGAAAAGAAACTGTTATTAAGTTCGAATATGCGACTTTGTTAGATTGAAGCCTGTGAGGTTGTTGTAAAACGCTCGTGATATCTGGGATAACAGTAAATTTGGCTCGTCTGAATCGCTCGCCACAACCTTCTATATGGCTAAAAGCTGAGATTCTTAAAGGTGAATATATGAAGAAATGAAACCCTGCTTCCGCTTGTTTTTTTCTCCTGGTGCCGTTCTATCACGGCATTCAAATTCGCATGTTCCCATTTGATAGAATATATAAAAAAATAAGAAAACTTGTTTGTATCTAACTGAATATGGTAATCATCAAAATACAAATGTAATCTATATGAAACGATACTTTCCATCTTGTTTTAACTTTAACAGGAACGAGTTCCTTGTTCACAGATTGAGCTCGTAACGGGAACGCGTTCCAAAAATCAGAAAGAACGAGGAACGATCTTTCGTTCCTTTTTCTTTTTTTTTTAGGAACGTGTACATCACTGCACGGGCACTCCTCTCACTAAACGGTGAAAGCGCGAACGACGGTTGGCGTCCGGAAGGGTAGTTACGTTGTGAAGCAGAACACGAGAAACCATTATATAGTCACCTGTTGCTTACCGTTTTGTTTCAAGCTCCGAGCTTCTTTCCGACTCTGATTTGCAGAGAATGGTATTTTGTTTCTATCGATTACGAATTCCCTGCCGTATCTTCACTATCCGAGACTCGGGTGTTGGGGAAGAGATAGAACCGTGACGCCCCTAGCGACTAAGCTGATAACTAAACGTATGCGGACAACAAAAACCTGGATTAATTGGTTATATCCCTGACCTTGGCTGGTAGCCGAACACTGACGCAGCAGTTGTGTTCATCTCTGCACCTCGCTTTATAGAGGTATATACAACGTGTCCCAAAAATATATTACATTTAGTTTTTTTTTGTTTTTGTTTTTTTACCGTGAAAATAAAGTATGCATTGTCCAGCCTCCATTCTCCGCTCAATACAGTGATAGCGGTTTAAACCAGATACCAATGTTTATAAAACATTCGTTATCTCATTCCAACGTTATGAGTGAGTTTCTGAAAATTTAACTGGCAAAATTGAGCCCTTTTTTGCATGTTTTCGTTAACTGCCGCACCAGTGAACTCTACTGGGTGATTCAAGGAGCAGTCAAGCTTTTTAAATTCACCGCAAAATTCGGTTTCTGAACTTATCGCGCTGCGACTTTGTGCAGCGTTGCCCACAGATGGCGTTTTTTTTTTTGTTTTTTTTTTTTTGTAAATTTGGCAAAGGGCGAACTTACCTTAGGAAAAAGTAAAGAAAGAAGAAGGCTTTGCTTCTATGGAAACGCAGCGAAGCCTCCGGTCTTCAAACAATACGGCGCCGCTTCGCACGGAAGACAAGAGATGGCGCAAGCGGTCGCGATGCGAAGTGTCGCCAACGAACGAGTATTCGTTGCCGAAAGTTGGCGTCTTTAGCAGACGATCGTTTCGACTCAAAAGGGCCAAGAGCTTTTTTGATATCACTTGCCAATGCATTATTTTATCATTCTTACTGATAAAACATATTAAATCATAGAGTTATTATAATGTACGCTAGAGGTTCAAGTGGCGCTAGTGTGCTGCTGCAAATTGAAGCAGACAGCAACCAGTCGGAAATTGACTTCCGGTAATGCATTTCTATGGGGAAAAGCGAGTACATTTTCTCGCTGCGCTCGATTATAAGAGCAAATATCACGAATATTTCGTACGTACTGGCACATTGGAACATTTCTCAGTCACTGAGACGAAATAATTGGTCAGTTACGGCGTTTTTATTTGAAATTCATAGCATGAAAAACGGTGCTAAAACCGCTTCGTACATGTATTTATGTGCACTGTCGGACACTGTTAGCGCGAACACGGCATCGGCGCTTTCCACGATGGGGGATATACGTGTCAAACGAACGAAGGACATGTGGAAAACCAAGAGAGACGGCAAAAACTACCCAGTAACACTGGATAAGTAACTCCTTGTGCATGCAGGCGATCAAAATAAATTGAAAGCCACGTAATATAGTCCGATCTGCAATAAATAAGTACTGCTTTGTTTTTTCTGCTCATGAATATGTGCAAAGATGCATGTTCTCGGTTCAAATCATCAACCGCACGCTCCAAATCTTTGCAAATAGGGAGAAGTCAGAGAACAGGTGCCCGATAAGAACTGCCCGACATAGGAAATAATAAAAAGGCGCACCTTTCGTAGTCCACGTACTTTGTTTTTTACATTCAAATGTTTTATTAAACGATCGTAAAGATGCACGACGGAGTCATCTTCATAGAATGACAGAACGGGCATATTAGCAATATATATAAGCGCCACCGCAATGCTAGCGAACCTTGAACACACTTTACATTCTTTTTGATCGTTAGTTTGCTTAAAATCGTCGCTCGTTTTTACATACCTGCCATGGAACATAGGTTTGGGCCTGAAATATAGCGAAGCTTAACATCGCTCAGTGGTAAAGAAAAATGCGGTAATTAAAGCGATTATACTTTTACATTATTAATAAATGTGCATACTATCCGGTACAACCGAAATAATAGAAGTTATTCATGTTATTTTCCGGCGAAGAGACAAATTTCACGCGCGTTTTCCCATAGGAATGCACGGGAGCACCGCAAAAGTAGACTGGTTGCTGTCTGCTTCAATTTGCCTCCCGGAAGTCGCATAGACACTAGCGCCAGTTGAACCTCTAGCGTACATTATAATAACTCTATGTATTAAATGGCCAGATACTCGATTAAAAAATTTTTTGTCGGGATAGTTTGACTTTTTTCGGGGTACTGATGTCGCCTGCTTTGCAGTTCCTTGTTGTTACCGCGCCTGTGTTTGTTTCTGCGACTGTCGCCGCCTGCGGAACGCGCACCGCTTTTGGGTCGGAACGATCGTCTGCTAAAGACGCCGGCTCTCGGCGACGTAAGCTCGTTCGTTGGCAGCAGTTGGCATCGCGACCGCTTGCGCCATCTCTTGTCTCCCATGCGAAGCGGCGCCGTATTTTTTGAAGACCGGTGGCTTCGCTTTGTTTTCCCTAGGAGCTAAACCTTTTTCGTTCTCTACTTTTTCCTCAGGTAAGTCTGCTCTTTGCAAATTTTACCAAAAAAAAAAAAAAGATGCACCATCTGTGGGCAACACTGCACAAACTCGGAACGCGACAGGTTAAGAAACCGAATTTTGCGGTTGATTTAAAGAGCCTGGCAACTCCTTGAATCACCCTGTATGTGTTTGAGAGTTTCGTCGGCCGCGCATTTTTCCATCGAAAATTTTATAACATCACTCATAACTTTTGAATACGATAAGGGTTAGCTCTGAATTTTTTTGGCATGTGGGTCGAAATGCTAAATCTACATTCATGTGAACAATGAGCATTCGGCGATGCCTATAGTCTACGTTTGCTGAAAAAAAAACACAAACACACACTCATTTTTTGGGACACCCTGTTCACTCTAAAAAAAGAAAAGAGGAATGCGAGTTCACTTTCCTGCATAACACGGGAAAACGAATCACGACGAACAGCAGAAACATCCCTGCGAAGGACGAAGTTAAGAATTCGAGTAGACCTGAAAAGTTCGATGTGCATCGCGATAATCAGAATTACGTTTCACTTCCACATGGTTCGGGCACACCGGGCATTTTCGGATCTAATTGTACTATTGGCTTTGTAATTTGCTGATATACCTCTATTGTTAGTTGCGATTGCTTATCTTCGTGTTCTGGAGTCCACTGAAGTCGCAGACGTTCTTAGATCACGGACGGCGCAGCGATGCGAGTTCATGGACATCACTTTGTCGGAACACCGATGACTGCGAGAAACAGGCCAACTCTAACTTGTTTACTTGTTTCATTAGTAGAGCTACTTATCTTTTATAAAAAAACCAGTATTAGTGTAACGAGCACGCGCATGCATGCTCTGAGAAATCTAATAAAGTTATATGCGACAGCTTCATGCTCAAATGTTTTTTTTCTTTTTTTCAGAAATTGTGGTGGCAACATGTGCTGCCGTCGTTGAAGATGGAGCTGCAGTCTCCAGAGGTCTTAGCAGCTGCCCTTCAGCCGCTTCTTTTCATCATCGAGGAGAGTACTGTGGACGAATATCAGAGCATCATCTTGCCCATCTTTAGAAGCGTCTTCGGCATGCCCAAATCTGTTCAGGTAATTTCCGATTTGTTTCATATAACAAGAAATCGGATCAACAGACTTACTCGACGTGTAGCCTTCCATCTATTTTAAAATGGATTAAAGATTTCTGCTAAAATATGCGCACCAATTTTTTTCCCCTTGTAATTATATGGCTTTTAGACGTTTTTGCTTGACCTTCAAATTATCTCATTGAATCTCATTACGCGAACAGTTCTGATGCTTCACGACTCTTACATGGGTTACTTACTTTGCAAAAGAGACATTACTCGTTCAATTATTTTATTTCGCTGCATTACATTTCTCGACCGCTAAGCTACAACATTTTAGGCGTTGTAGTCGTTTCACGCAGAGTTTTAGTAAAGTTGTAAGCATAGTATTGGACACCGCGAACAACGTTCTTGTGCGTGGCATTGTTGAGACGCCATTGGCAAAACTAATGAATCCTTGCACTTATCTAATGTGTGTTATCATAGTTTATTATATTTAAATACATGCCAAAACACATTAACAAGCTTTGCTATCTACGGTTTTGTTTTCTGCAATATTTCCCTAATATATTATTAAACGACAGCTGTGCTACTACCTTCCGCGCTACATTTCTCATTCAGGCGACAGTAACGCTACTGGAGAATTTAGACGTCCTGATGAAAAAGACACCCAAAACGGACATCAAGGCGGATGTTCTCCCAATGCTGTACAACTCGTTTGACTCAACAACACCACAGATTCAGGTGAGTCGTTATCTGCACGTAGGTGCACATGCAATTGCTGCTCAGATTTTTAAGCACACACATTTCCTCCCCGTTATCTTTTCTTTTCAAGGTATTTTTTAAACGTTTGGTGTTTCTATTCAGCAATACACAACAAGGCACCTTTCCGTTTTGAATTGAATATTATACTGTCTAAAACGGGAATTTTCACCCGTTTAAATTTCGCGACTGATAGGATGTAATAGCTAAAGAACACCTCCCAGTCTTGATGTTGATGCACTGAAGCAGTTTACGGAGCTTGCATGCAATATTGAACGTAATGCGAAATGTTCGGCTCAAAGCTATGCCTCGACGAGAGGGTTAGATCTCACAAAAAGTGCTTAAATTGGGAAGAATTTGCATAGAAGCAGCGACGGTCGAAAAAAATTTGTGAGCTTGGCAAACCTGTAAGGAAGTTGTGCGGAACCCCTGTGACGTTTGGAGCCATTTTTGAGAGGCCATGAACCGAGATAATAAACTGTATATATATTTTCACTTTGGGAAGCGTGCTTAAGACGTTAAGGAATTTTTTTTTTTTGGTAAAGTTTACCACGTCTTCATTGAATACATCAAAGTGGCAATTTATTTATTACCATTTTTTTTAAAATCACCTTGGGACTGAGTGACAAAATCTCTAAGAAGCCAAATCCTTTTAATGATGTTGTCTAACCTAGAAAAATATGGCGACTCCATCATTCTGAGAAAACTATCTTTTAACATAAATTTACCTTCAATATAGCTTCAGTGTATATGTGTTTGCATTTTATAGGAAAATGTGTTCCACATTATATTTTTAATACTTGAAAGTTTCACGCTCGGGGTACTCTTAACTTCAGGAAAAGACAAGCTATTTCAGAGGCAGAAAGCAGATATTAGTCATACTAGAAGTTGAAACATCCAAGCCACGAAAATGCATAGATAGGATATGTGCCGTGATTAAGCGCGTCGCTATTCTGCCAAACAATCTTCACAGATATTATTAAAACTCTCTCATCTTACACAAGATATAGGATTTAGAAAAAAATCGGAAGCGAATAAGCAACGCTTAGAATTGCTAATTCGACACAAATACTAAACATCAAAAACTGGTGAAAAAAGAAAACTTGTTTACCGAAAATTAAGTCGGGGTGTCTAATATTCGGATTACAATATTAAAACAGTACATATTAAAAATGAATTTGTAGATATTCAGGCACTGCTATGCTTTATCGTTTTCTCTGTGTCAAACGTAGTGCGCTGCCATGCACGCGATAGCGCAAATCGCCGACTACCTTGAAGAAAGCGCTGTCCGCAAAATGGTACTTCCGAGGACAAAGCAAGTCTTTGAAAACAACACGGGTGTGAAGGTACGTGCCACAGCATTTTCCGTCCACAGGACGACTGTTTCTGTAATAGCTGAAACAATAATTTAGTCAATGATGCTATATTTAATTTATATGATAGGGATAACCAGTGTAGATGGTTGAGCGTGTTGGTTATTAATTTACGGTAAGGAAAGAGGGACAATTAAGACAAACAGACAAGACAGGCTTTCGACAGGCTTTCGAAAGCCTGTCTTGTCTGTTTGTCTTAATTATCCCTCTTTCCTTCTCGTAAAATAACCAGTGTTTAATGCGTTTCCTGGTGCTGCACATAAGTGCTTGCCCATAAAAAATAAATTATATTTGTTTTTGCCTCACATATAGTTGCTTTGTCTAGACGGCCTTAGGTGTTTTATAGTTTTAATTAATATGACGTTAAACACTTTCATGGTTTTTGAAATATTCAATTTAAAACCATAGAGAAATTCTCGTCACCACAGAAATATGAAAGTGTACTGCAGAGATGTCATAATTTGACTGGCCATTTAATAACCGTATTTTTTTAACAGGTGACTAGTAATGCGAATGTTTTTTAAACCAAAATGAGATTGCAGGACACCATTTGTGAGACATGCGACATAATAATTTCACCTTACTATTTTTTTATTAGACATCTTACATTAACTGAAAATGCAACTTGTTTGCTTGGCACGTAAAATCATGCACCCGTAAAATTAAATCTCTCATGTCTACAGTGTCTCTTAAACTAAGAAGTCCTGAGCAACTGTCACAAAAGTATATGTAACTGTTTGATGGTTGTCTACTTATTATCAAAACTGAAAACTCGTTTTAATTAAAAAAAATATATATATGGTTTTTTTTAATTTTGCTCGTTTTTGTTTACAAGGGAAAGCGCTTATTTTTGTGCCTCTATTATTTTTTTTAAAAAACTCAATGTCATATCAATTTTTTTTAAAGATGTTTCACCATAACTTGTTTCTGAACATCAGGTCCAGGCCAATGCTCTAACGTGCATCGAGAAAATCATCGACAAACTTGAAAAAACTGACATTCTGGACGAAGTTCTACCGATGCTCGGCAAGGCCAAACTCCAGGACCCGGCTATTCTGATGCCAGTCGTTAGTAAGTGGCGTCCATGCAAATTGTATAGAAGTGAATGCATTAACTCATGTAAACTCTAATAAAAAAAAACACGATTTTATTTTCACGTAACGTATTGAGAAAGCTAATAGCCGCAATCTGCGGAGGGTGCTTGGCAAACGACGAAGCTCAAAACAAGTTTAGATCTAATGAAATGTACAGTCTGCACCATGACACTTGCCATGCCGTAAGACGTGAAACATTGTGCTCAGTGTCACAACGCGTATTTATCATTTTAGGTCTTAATATGTATGCAGCCCCGACATTCGCCGTACGTAGATCGTACCGATTTGCTTATATAGAAGCTTTGCAGAAACGGAGGCGCACCAGGTTTTTATAGAGTTTATACCTTGTGAATTGTCGTGCCAACGCGTCTTTATTACTTACGTTATATTATGTACCACGCGTTTTTTTAGGTAATACATTTTCATGCACGCTGCAATGTGTTTATACGTTTTGTGCCCAAAAGCAGCCACTTGAATAGCATGCTTTCGTGGCCAGTGCGTCATAGAATGCAGTCTTGCTTCATTGACTTATAAACATAGTTTGCAGAACTCCCTTTAAGTTAATACTAAATAACAGTATGCTACGATTCAGTCCCATCGTAAGCATTAAAAGGTCTCAGGGAGACAGTAAGGAAGGGTTGTGTTTCCTGCTCATCGGAAAATTAAACGTAGTATCGTTTTTTAGAAATCTTGTTTTTTTTAATAATTGTTAAAAAAATTACGCAGTCGCAATCTTTCTTCTGTCTCTGTGGACTGCACACAACTTCGCTAAACAGTTCTCTTTATTTATTTAGTTTATTCAGGTTTGTGCCATTCAAGGCATCGCTGCATCTGAGATGCCACGAACATTATTTTCCGCAGTGTTCGAATGGTCCACAAATCTTTCAGCTTTACACAAAGCACATTCCTCGAATGGAAATACCTTTCGACCTTCATCGCCTCAATCACTGACAGTGTTCTTTTTAAGAAGGCGTTAATTAGTCTCTTTTCCTGATTTTATTCATCTTTCTCTTTATTCATTTTTTGCATATTTCATTTCAATAGAAACTCACATGCAGTTCCCCACGCCCCCTCCGTAATGCCTTATGCAGTGAGGGCGAATACATCAAACGAAATTTAATACCGTTGCCTGACATTTCACGCTTCGTTTCTGAAGCTTTATCATTATCTATTGCACCTAAGGTTTCTATGCACGGTCGCGTATCGCCAGCTGTTATTCAAAATGTTTCATCACTAAGCATTTTTTTTAGTGCAGTAGTCAACAGAATCTTTCAGTACGGATTGGAAAGAACCCTTACGCGCGCGTTTTCATGACAGGCGAGCACCTCTTTCTGTTATAGCGACTTTTCGACAAGTATTCATAAAACCACGTTGCGTGGCAATCAACAGTAAACCAGATTTTAAAACAATAAATAGAAGTCCGGCTATCGTAATATTTTTTTCTATAGACCAGATCACTAGAAAAGCCGAAAACTATGGTATAGTTAGCGAAAGAATGGGGACGGCAGTGCGTGTCTTTCCGGTACCCGGCCGCCGGCAGGCGTCCGTTGCCCTTTTTCGCGCTCTGGCTGCGCCAGCGCACTCGAGGTTCACATGACACCGTAGTAGTATCGAAAATTCAAAAAATCGCACTGGAGGCAGGTTAACTGAAAGGTCCCTCTGCCGTTCTTTTTATTTTATTTTTTATTTTTTTTAAATTTTGGCACTCATTTTAAACGATTCCGCCAACAAGCTTCTAGCAGATACCGTCTTGAGAGTTCCGTTTCATTAGCGACGAGATGTTTTGATGGCGCCCTCCTGTGGCTCCCTCTCGTGACGTCATTACCTTGCGAACAACAGTTCGATGGTGCCTGTATTGAGCATGGCGGAAGCTAAAAGTCACATCTCTCTGAAACCAACACTGCCAGCACGTCAAAGTTCAAGTTCTTACATTCCTCTTATTTCCGTCGATGAGGAATATACTTTGCTGACTGCGTAGTCAGCCTTCGGCCAATCGTGGAAGGCCGACCACAGCGCCACTTTCGACCGCTCACGTAGCCAATGGTGTGTGCCTTTCAAGCAACAATCATGCTTGAGCTACGCTGCAAAGCTCCTTGCAGTGTTGTACTGTGGAATGGTGCATAAAAGTGCTGGCTTCGTAATGCGGAAAATCTATTTTTGTTTTTCAGGGATATACAAACACATGCTAAGCGACAAGCGCTATGGCCTGACGGTCAACCTTATAGCTACAAAAGTGATGCCAGCCCTCATCCCCGTCGTAGTTAGTCCTGCACTAAAGTTAGATCAAGTAAGCATTCCAAACCTCTACGCACTTTTAGGTTCCTTTTTTTTACTTTTATTGGCGTGACCTGAAATCGTTTCATGAATGCCTCGACATGATTCGAGCTTGCTACGAGTGTTTCACGTAAACTCATAATTTAATAAAGACACTAATTCAAGAACTAAAATAATATAATGCCAAGAAAAAATAATGTTGATATTTGAATTAACAGTAATATAAACTAACAATGCAATAATATTAAAGAAAAGCCTTTACGTTTCAGCCATTTGCGCGCCCTACTCTCTATTCGTATAATACAACAACTGATTTTCGAACGTGGAGACCCTTCGTACATATTTAACTGATTCTAATCAATACGACTTCATACTAATAGACATACTAAATTTAGAAAGTAAATATTCATAAGTCAACCACAGTGATGTACCTCCCGAAACACGATCGGTGGTTTATTTTGACGTGTGTACGTAAGCACACATATAAATAATAGTAAACCAGCTGTGAAACAGAACGTGCGGGGCGAATGTAGAAGTTTACCTTTCAACTAACTGATGACTAATTTGGACACTTTTTTATTACTTGATTTCTCCTTTTCAGTTCACAAGTTTGATAGAGTTGCTCCAAGAAATGTTGGAACATGTTTCAAAGAGCCAGCGGAACAAGCTCAAACTTGAAAAGCTGTCGATACCTTCCACAGACATGTGAGCTGAGCTTCCTCAATACCTTGACTGCTTTATATGTATGCTCATGTATTAGGCATGTCTCGAACGTTTCTGGAACCTCAAGATTCGGCTAATTCGGCGAACGCTCGAACTTCTGACAAAATTCGACCAAGTTCGACCTTTAAAACAGTGTGACGCGATATATATATATAAAAAGAGGTTGAGAAACATTTATTTATAAAACAACTTGCATTAAATTAAAAGAAATTTATATTTTTTATACAATATCATAGTATACATATCAGCTAGTTATATATTAGTGATGTTTGTCGAAATGGCTACACCCTCCTCCGCCGGGTGGTGCCAGCTCGTGTTTGTACTTATTCTTTCCATGATGTTTACCGTCTTTTGGAGTATATTTGCGTGCGCGTAATTGTCAAACTTTTGTCGACCTTTTTTTTTTTTTTTTCGAAGTTTGAGCGGATGTTTTGAAAAGTTGAACTTGGTCAAACGCGTACCTTGACAGGTTCGCGACATCTTTCTACAATTTATTGAATTTTTAACCAGCTGAATGGCGACTATGACTGTGTAATTTCTCACCACATTGTTTTATGTCTAAATGCACACTAATATGAATACAAATCAATTCTATAAGCTGCGATGGTTTGACGAAATTGAGTAATAAACTCGTCTCAATTCTGACGCAAAGCGCCCATTTAAATTAATAATTTCAGGCGAAACAGGCGGTGAATGTAAGAATTGACTAAAGGCGTGGATTTTCAATTGATGAAAACGAAAGAGGTGTCTCGTACAAACAATCTGAATGGTCAAAAGGCATAATCAATAGAAAGCGGTTATAACCTTCTTTTCTTTATTCTTAAAAAAAAAGAAAAAGAAACGGTCTTCGCCACTTTGATGATAATGGGACCAGAGTCTAAAATGTAATGTTCCATACTAAAAAGATATGCGAGTGTTTATGGTTCTCTATTGTCAGGAAGTGCATTTGATAGCTTCGTCTTACCATTACTTCTTACAAGCTTCACCGGGTAGTCTGAGATTGTTTTGGGGGTAAGAAACGGGTCCAACGCAAGCAATCTCTTCTCCTAAAACAGCCCAGCATCGGTGGACGAAGCTCAACACCGAGTCGTGAACCCTCCGGATAGGTTTGTACTTGAACTTAGGTCCCCCGAACCCAAAGACCCAAATCTAGCAGCATCGCTTCTTGGCTGACGTTGCATACAGTCTCGGCTCCTGGCCCCGAACCTTTTATTTATTTTTTTTTCTGCTCGCTGTAGTTGCCTCGCTCGCCTCTCGGACTCCACTAGCAATCCCTTTTGGCAGCGCTGGTCAGGGTGCAAAAAAATGACCATTTCTTTTTCACGCCTATCGCCGCATCATTTAATTGAAGATCCAGGTAGTGTTAACACGTCATAATCTAAAGAGAGAACTTTCGGAAACCGCGTTGTTTCTTTTATCAACTTGTTTTTTCACAATAATGATTATAATTGCTAAACACTACGAGAAGTGAAACATGGATCAGCCTAAACATGCGTGTGCAATTAAGAGTAATATAGCCCTTAATAAAACCCACACACAATTGCAGGCATAAAAGTATATAATATTATTCCACATTGTTCGTGGCTGCATGAATGCTATATCCAAAATAATTCAGCGGAACAGTTACCGAACGAAGGCAACTGTGTGCGTAAAATAAACACAAATTCGTCGATAACGTCAAGACCCTCTTCAAGCTTTGCTCTATCTCGTTAACTAAACCTACGTAAGCAACGGGTATATTGGGACTCTGAATAAAGAGAAACAAATGACGTTTTAGAAATATGTGTTACAGAATAAACATGTTGTGGTCAACGACAATACTGTCAGTGCGCAGCTAGGCAAGCCGGTGGAAGACATCTGTTCCAGTTTCTTTTCTTACCACTGTCAAAATTTTATCCTCCTTTTGCCCCAGAAACGGGTTAAATTCATCATATTGGGATTCTTTTTCGGAAAATATTTTTTTCAATCCCTCGCTGGTGATACCACGAAATTAAGTGTTCCTAAAAAAAAAAAGCATGTGAGCAGGCCTATCGGACAATATTATTTTATGACTATTTCAATGAATACTCAAAGCTACAATTTCCAGTTGACTGAACAATGTTATCGTTTTAAGAGACGAAGTAAATAAAAAAAAACTAACAATTTATATTTGCACCCTGGTACCGGCTAAGCCAGACGCACTTCCAACACATAGCCATACATTTCCCCACTAGATTTTATTTACCACATTGCAACTCAACCTGCATATTCGAACCCACAAAACTAAATGCACAACCTGTTAGAATCCAAACAAATCACTGCAGAGGCATGATTAAAGCCTGAAACATGTCGGGGAATGATGACAGTTTCTAAGCCCTCGCATGTTAGAACAAGTAAGACACCTTGACCCTTGTGCACCTTAGTTTTAAAAAATGCGGTTAGAAACCTAAAGCTTGTATTCGTCATGAAGAAATAAAACCTCGGCTGTCTGTGTGCAGAAAAATTCGAACACAGGGCTAGACAAGCTGCTCATTATAGTACACTAATCTATGTGAATTTCCCATTAGGTAAAAAACATAATTTAGAAAAACAATTTTTTTTTCAATTCATAAAAAAACTACAGGCTAGTGTTTTGCTGATTTTTCTTTTTATTTTGACATCTTATTATGACACTTCAGTAGATGATTACTTCACTTTCATCGTGGAGTGGTCGCGATTAGGTTTATAATAAAACTATATGTTAAAAATATAGTTAAGAAATGTAGTGTACATTTACCTGTCTTTATAGAAATAACCAACAAGCTGACGTAACACAAGTAGCAACTATTCTAACCGTTCTTTGTTGATACACTGTTGAAACACGTGTCAATGTGCGTTTTGACAACAGTAGAACTTCACGCTGCAGTAGTTGCTTCTAGCATGGCTTTCTTTAGGCAAGACCTGCTTGGACTGGCTTAGCTACTTCCTTCGAAATCGTTTTAGCTGTAGGTTTGTACACTGCAAGCTATATAGTTTTATGCTTCGTAGAAAAGCGCGCTTTGCATCTTGGGGCGCCTTGCTGATAATGTTGCTTAGTAAAAAAGCGTCACTTCTGTTATTTATTTACTTTGTTACACTTTGCTTCCTTATCTGTACATCCTTCTCAAGCACAATAACTCTACTTATCTAACTTTACAAACTAAATATCACATCGTTTGATTATCTCAATTGAAATAAATGAATAATCGAATTTTGTGAAAATTGATAATTCCTGATCTTCAAGTGTATGTATAGGAATTTTACTTAGAATTAATAAAAATGCGAGAGTATGAGTCTATGTATTTTTATTTAGGCCAAAATATGTTTTCGAATTGAACTTAACTCTGTCGTTTTATCATGTGATAAACTCTCTGTACATTTACGACTTGTCAAAATATTATTTTTAATTGGTAACTAATATAGTCGCTCAATGACAGATAAAATGAGAGCATAAAGTTTTATTTTTGTTTAGAGTTACGAACTTGATAAACCAATTAATGAGCGAAATCGTATTGCACTCAGAGTTATTATAACAATAAATTGATTGTCAAATTTCATAAGTTTGCATTGAAAAGTAAGGCATATTAAAGGACTAGATGTACCTGAATACAAGTTGGCCGGTGCACGGCCGTCATTGCTTAGAGTCACTTTAAAATTACCTTCGCTAACAAACTTTGTTTTCTCGGTGCCCTTCCCCATTTTTCTCTGCCTCTCTTACCTGCCCCCGTAGGCTTCCAGTGCAGATGCAGTATACAATGGAACAGCCAACGGGATATCCCCACCGTCCCCCTTCCCTTCGACTCGAGTCCAGGCGAACATCCATCAGCATGGATGATGTTGTCCGCAGGACGTGTAGTTCAGGTAGGCTGAAATAGACATCGGACTAGACATCGCGCTTAGACCCTATCTGTGCAAGTTTCGCAAGAAGACGTTGTTTCATTCCTCGTCTTCGAAAACTCCTTGTCAAATGAGAGGACAAACAATTCCCGTCATAGAATCTTTCGTTGCATGCAAAACTCATATACTTCATTTCCAATTCTCCAGGTGCTTACGAGTACCAGTTGTTCCCTATGCCCGTATCTGAAGGATCGTTTACCAAAGATTGGAGGGAAATTTTTTCATTGCTTCTGTAAGACGAATTATCACTTCATGCATTTTAAATAACGGGGCAGAAAGACCTCGATAAATATCATTTTGTTCTTTATGTAGCACTTTAGCGTCCTTGCAGTTTGCAGAAGGGTTAGAGCGGTGCACGGGCTGCAGCTATAGTTGTAGAAGACGAGGAATAAAAGAGGCGCTCGCTCACGTCCTGAACCTGGCTGTTCGGGCGTTTTGATTCCCTCGCCTGACGCCAAAACGTCCTACACAACATTGTGGCAGCGTAATTGGATCTTACCCACACCACCACGCGTCGTTCAAGCTTCCTGGCAGCCTAAAAAAAGCTGTTGAGCTAGGAGCTACCAGTGATTCCTTCAGGCTAAGCCATCTGAAAATGCCGAAAGTTTCAACCGAGATAGCGACTACAATGCTGACCTGTCAGCCACCGGAAGGGTTTGACTTCTCAAAGCCCGAAGACTGGCACCAAAGGATCTATCTGTTTGAAGCCCGATCCACATGGTGCGATTTTACTTGTGATTTCGCAAGGGTGGTGGCCAACACGTAGCTTCCACCGCATTTTTTTTGCCGCGAAAGCGACGTCATAATTAAGAAATCCAAAGTAAAATTTCTCCAGATGAATCAGGTTTAAGAGATATTAAATTGTCAGCGAACTCCAAAGGAAAACCAGCATCGAACAAGGGAACACCCTCGCTCATTGTATAGTTCAAGTCAGTTCAGTTTATTGTACCTCAAAGGCATTTCAGATGAAATGCATTACATGAGGGGGGATCAAAATACATATACAGATGGCAAAAGAGTGACGACAAGGTAAATAATAAAAAAACACAAAAAGAAAAAAACTACAAACTAATAGGACAGATATCAGAACATGTAGAAATAGTAATTAACAGATAAACATGTTAAAGATCAACGCTTTTCAGGTGTGCCTTGCATAGTTCACAAGATTTCTTAGGGTTAGATTCACGTACTATGGATTCAGGAAGGGAATTCCAGTTAGTAATAGCGAGAGAATGTGGGGAATGTTGGAATTTATTAGTTCTGGCGAATAGAGATTTAATTTTTAGGCTGTGGTCATCACGCAAGGAGATGGGTGACAGTTGGTGTTTCGAAAATCAGAAGAGGAATAGTAAGTTTTGGGAAAAAGGACAAGACGAGCAAGTTGAGTTCTTTGAGATAGAGGGATTAGGTCGAGGTTGAATTTTAGTGCAGTTATGCTTGATGTTCTCGAGTAGTCATGTGTTATAAAACGTGAGGCCTTGTTTTGCACCGATTCGAGTTTAGTAATGAGATATGATTGATGAGGCCACCAAATAAAGTTGGCGTAGTCCAATTTTGATCGGACGAAAGTCTTATAGGCAGTTAGTTTAACACAACGGGGAGTGGGGTACAGGTTACGTTTTATGTATCCTAGACATCTGTATGCACTAGCCACTATATTGTCAATATGAGTATTCCAAGTTAGGTCGTCAGAAAATGTTACGCCTAAATATTTGTAATTTCGTACTTTTTTGAGAGGCAGTGTTAGTAAGGTGTAGTTACGTACAATAGGAGATCGCTGGCCAGTGAATGTTAAAAGTTTGCTTTTGATTACATTGACCTTCATCTGCCACGTGTTACACCAATGAGACAGAACATTTAGATCCTGCTTTAGTAGTAATAAATCTTCAGGGTTAGTGATGCGACGTTAAATTACGCTATCATCCGCGAAAAGCCTAATAGATGATGTTGTCTGGTGAGGAAGATCGTTAATATATATAAGAAATAAAAGCGGACCGAGAACGCTGCCCTAGGGGACGCCCGACAGTACAGGCAGGCTTGGTGATCTGGCATCCCCAAGGTAAACAGCTTGCTTACGGTTAGTTAAGAATTCAGCTATTCAGAGTATAATTGATGGATGGATGTTAAGTCAGAAAGTTTGTATAGAAGTCGTTGGTGAGGAACCGTGTCAAATGCTTTAGAGAAGTTGATAAGGGTGGCATGATTGGGTTTAGAGGAGTGAAAGTTGTTATGCAAATCGGTTACGAACTCAAAAAGCTGGGTTTCGCACGAATATCCCGACCTGAAACCATGTTGGTTGTTACATATTGCCGCGCGGCAAGTAGGCAGCGCAGCCGTGGCCTAACGGTTATCGCGCTTGCCTCCCACGCGAAGAGCCAGGGTTCGAACCTGTACTGCGGGAACTCGGAGGGCTACGATGCACGGACGTGCGGTACCAAGCACCTCCACCAAAAATGTCACGAAGGACAAGCGATGAGGCGGCGAATAACGGAGTAAACTGAATGTTTAATCGGGCGAACTGGTGCCCAAAAAGTGAAAGGGAAAAGAAAGATAACAACAGAGCGTCGCGGGCGTCCAAGGCGGCGAAGCAGCAAGATCGAACGCTGAGGCGAAAACTGATTCCGGCTCGCCACGCGGGGCTCCTTATGTACATGCGTGAGCTGCTGGAATAATCGGCGTAGAATGTTCGACGCGTAGAATATTGGGACCTCGAACAAGCCCAACACGATTCTCGAATTTACCAGAAAACTAAATTGCAGGAATAAACAAAAGGACGCGTAACTCCCGGGAATCGAACCCTGGCTCTTCGCGTGGGAGGCAAGCGCGATAACCGTTTGGCCACGGCCGCGCTGCCTACTTGACGCGCGGAAATATTAATTTATTTTCCGACAAATAGTTCATGATGTAGGGTAGACGACATGTTCAAAAATTTTGCATGGCACACTTTTCAGCGATATAGGTCTCTAATTCGAGTAGTCCTGCTTGTTTCCGGATTTAAAAATAAATAGAACTCTCCCGAATCTCCAGTCCTCCGGGAGGGTCGCCGAGTCAAGCGATTGCTGAAACAGTCTACAAAGAATATAAGATGAGATGTGCGTTGTTATTTTGAGAAGTTTAGGGCAAATATTGTCGTCGCCAGGCGCTGAGCTGCGGGAGAGTTTTTCGATTGCATTGAGGATACCATTTCGGTCAAAGACAATAGGCTCGCAAGAAATGTTAAGTGGTGTACAGATCGGATCACAGGGTATTGGTAAGTCTTCTACGGTGAATACGGACGAAAAATAGTTGTTAACGACAGTAGCTGATTCAAGGTTTGTTAATACTTATTTGAGGTCGTTGCTTAGCTTAGGAGACAAAGCTCAGGATATCTTACTCTCGTCTAGCTTAACCACCAATCAAATGACACTGTGCACAGCGGTCCACTAGGCATTCGGCGATCACTTCAGAGGTCGGCGAAACCTAATCTATGACATAAAAATTCAACACAAGGATTCAGAAAGATGGCGAGCCTCTTAAGCGCTTCCTGACTCATCTTCATGCTTTGGATCAATATTACAAATACGAGGTTCTACTCGACGAAATGATCAGAGGTCGTATTGTGGTTGATGGCAATGACAACAAGCTATACAAAGAAAGTGCAGATAGGCGCTAACTTGACCCCGGAAACAGCAACCACTATGGCTCGCCCGTCCAAAATAGCCAAATTGCATCAATCCGACGTTCGACCTGAATTTGTCAGTGTTAATCGAGTCAGGGCATTCCCTGATTCAGGAACAAGTGCTACGCAAAGACGATCGCCTGCTCAAAACACAAATGTCGTCGAAAGCCGCCACTGCCTTGGATGTGGGCAGAGTCTACATGCGCGGAAGGAATGCCCAGCAAAGGCTGCGATATGTCACAACTGTAAAAAAGAAAACACTTTTCGAAAGATTCCTTGGGCTCCAAAGCTGTCTTATAGCCAAAGACGAGGAGTCATTTTTTAGGGGGATGCTGGATGCCAGATATAATGATGTCTGGATTGTTACTGTGGAGTTCCGACAAGTACTTTTGTCGTTTAATGGTGGTAGAGCAGGAATGCCACGGTCATCACTAATAACGTGTATATTCAACAACTTGAGCAGCTGCCCTGATGAAGCCGACAAAGCGTCTATGTAGACCAAGTCCTTGGCGTTTTACACCTTGAGACCCTACATGACCAACTATGTTGTCACGGATATCTATGTTCTGAAAAACCTTTAATCTCCGCTCCTGTCGAAACGAGACAGCGATAACTTAGATGTAGTCAAGGGACTGAATGCGGTGATCATTTCAAGCTCCAAAAGAGTGAATACTAAAACTGAGCTCCCGTCGTTTTCACAGGTCTTTGATGCATAAACATGCCACATACGATTAGGCTGTACCTAAACGATGTGCCTTTTTTTCTTTTCCTTCACTAGAAGGATCTCAATACATCTAATTCAAGAAGTAAAAAAGAGTTTGAAAGCATGATTCACCTTAGCGTTATAAATCCCGTCAAAGAACCTACTTAATTGTGTTGCGCTATGGCGGTGGTGCGGAAGCTAAGTGGGTGCTATCGGGTCTGCGTGGATTTAACGTCGTTGACTAAGTGCACTGAGAAAGCATTTCATTCTCTCCCTACCACGGATCACGCTCTTGCGCAGCTGGGAAGCCCGAGATTTTTCTGAAACCTCCACATCAGCTCCTTCTTTCGGCAGTTTCAGCTGGCAGCAAAGTAGCAGATTCAAAACACATTTATCACTCACTGCCTTTGAATCGTACAAGTTCAAAAGGCTTCCGTTCGGCTTCAGGTCCGCACTAGAGTTTTACTGAAAGATGAACCGACTATTGAGTGGTATTGAGGGCCATAGATGCAACATGGGCTACATCCTCGTCTACGACTTTTCCAAAAAAAGGACACAACAAAAACTGACAAATGTCTTGCAATGCTACACACATGTGGGAATCACACTGAGCGACACCAAGTGCGTTTTTGAGGCAACCCGAGTGATATTCCTAGGTAGCATTATAGACCAAACCTGGGTAAAGCCTGACGAAGACGAAGACAAGTCCGCGGCGGTCTGGACAATGAACACATCAGCCAACATAAGTGAGCTAAAGGGTTTTCCGGCAAGGACAAACTACCTGAGGAACTTCATCCCCCACCTAACCCCCAAAAGAACCGCATCGTCTAAAGACGCTTTTTAGCTCGGAAACGCCCGGATATGGGACTGTGAGGAGCAGATTGATTTAACTCCTTAAAAGTAGCACTCATATCGACCCCAATACTTGCCTTGCTTAATCCTAAGGAAAATGAAAGTGATATCGGCAGCCGCCACATCCTATGGCATTGAAGCAGCTCTGCAACAAAAGAAAAACAACGACAGGTATGGTCCAGTCGTTTATGCCTCAAGATCGCTCAAGAACGCTGAGGGACGCTAGGCTCGCATTGAAAAAGGAGGGTTGGCTGTTGTGTGGAGCTGTGAAAAGTTTTGTGACCTCATCACAAGATTGAAAGTCATAATGGAAACTAATCACATTCTCCTTGTCCCAATCTTTTCTGCGAAAGGTTTGGAAGACTACAATGAATTAAACTGTGCATGTTGAGGTACGCGTATGACATCAGCCATGTACCAGGAAAAGACCTCATTCCCACTGGTGTCTTGTCCAGATATCCTATCGCTGAAGTTTCAAACTGTAATTTCGAAAAAAGATCCAGGCATTTGTTAATGGCGTCACCTGCAGTGTCCCCGCCACTGATAAAAGACTCCAGAAAATCCACGAAGAATACAAAACTTTTTCGTCTCTCACCTTTTGATGAGACACTTTGGTGAAGGCTTGTCTGTCAAATCCCATGTAGATTAGATGTGTAAGAACTTTTGACAATACCGTGCCGATATTTCTCTTAACGAGAGACTTTTAATAAAAGTGTAAACGATCTTTGTATTCTAGTCTACAAGGCAATACATCTTGGAGTAAATACGCCACAGACATCATGCACCGAGGCATGGCACACCAGAAATTGTATTCAGTGAGAATAATTTACAATCTTAAAACAATGACTCGTCAGAAGTTTTAAAGTTTTCCCAATGGTTCCACCCCAAAACTTCCACCCTGAAGTTTGCACAAAGTAACGGTTTTCTAAAGAATTCTGTAAAAATAACCAAGCGCAGTTGGAACAATATCGATGACGCCTAGCGCTCACTTCAGTCGTACCTATCCACCTTTTTTGGAAACGGTTATGGAAAGCTCACAAGAGAACCATGGGGTTCAGCCGAACCCCATGGTTCGGCTGAACCTTGCCTAAGCTTAAAGACTCCTGATCCCGAAACCCTCATAAATTAGGAGAAATAGAAGAGAGAAAAGGAGAAGATAAACTTCGGCAAAAGACATGAGGTATACGCGCTTACGTATGCATTGAACAACGCATGCGGATCTCAAACCAGAGAACAACTGGTCACGTTACATCACTTTCGAAAGCGTCCCCATTTATACACGGTACAAGCCGACCGGGGAGTTAGGAGAGAAAATTGAGTACACTTGATTCCCATCTCCACTTCCTCTACACGCGCACCAACCACGCGTGAAGGATAACCCCTCTCTACGAATACGACTTCCTTTCCTACAACATCGTATTCTTTGTCTACAAAATATACAGAATCCCTGCAACATCTACGGGTATCTTGGCAACGCGCAGTGGGCGTATTGTGAAACCAGCCGATAGGTCATGTTTTTAGATCTTAAAATATGAATATGTTCCAGGAACTCTAAGAAACGTGCGCGAGCTGCAGCTATTAGTGGTATAAGACGAGGAATATATGAGACACTTGCTCGTGTCCTGAACGTGCCTGGGCATGCTTTCTGGTCTTCTCACGTGACGCCTCGATGCCAAAAATAACACTGTCGCACTGAAGCGTCCTTGCAGTTTGTGGCGTGAACAAACATGGAGGACCTGCTGAAACCGAGCGACCACAAGTCTCTTGGGAAGTCAGGGACGGCTTGTGTTCGTAAACATGATAGTAGTCTATAGAAAAAAACTGCGGCCATTTTTTTTTGCATCGACTAAAGGTGTATTCGCATGACGGAGTTTCCGTTGCTGTCGTCTCCGAGTCTGACTGTGTTTCCGTTTTCTCCTTGCAGCTTCGTCGTCACCAGATTCCAACTTGCTGCGCGTGCAGGCCACTCTGCCAGGGCGGAGGCACTCGGACAACACGATCCAGCCCCCACGGATCCTGGTGGCCCCCTGCTCGCCCGAGGGCACCGTCAGCTACACCCCCGGGGGCCTCCCCATCCGCAGGCATTCCAGTGTCGGGACGCAGGACTCGCGTTTTTCGGGATTCTTCAGTTCGCCCAAAATGGCAAGCGTAAGTGAACCCAACCTTCCGCACGCTTTTCCGCAGAAAAAAAAGAAGAGTGAACACAACACACTTCTTTTGTTAATGTTCCTGACACGTAATACCTGCTTGCATGAGACGTCATCGTGTTACGTTGGTAGCAGCATTACTAGATTAGATCAGTTGTGGACCGCTAACGGAAGGGGTATCCTCCCTCACCCCCTCCAGTCCGCCACCCGTCGTTTGAAACGCCATTAAATTCTTGTTGCGAAATTGGGTGTTCCTAGAATACGACGAAACGCCATCTAGACGCTGTGTTTCTAAACATACGTATTCCATAGAATACACTCCATTTACAGTACCAGCCTTTTCCAAAATAGTGGCCCGTCGAACGGTGGTAGGCAGGTCGAAGGGGAAGAGGTGCGTACTGCACGTGAAAGGAACGTCTAATGGCTGTTACGTAACTGAGCTAATCTAGTAACGTGGGTTGGTAGTCATTTATCGCTTTTAATGTCCTAACATTAGAGGGCCATTCTGGTGGCCTTGCTGCTGGCCGCGTTACCTTCTCCCGCATACATTAATTACGCTCCACGCAATTGTTTTTTCTCAACACGAGCATGTACGAATGAGTCTCAGCATGAAGCGTTGATGTCACGTGTAAGCCATGCATTTGTACCGAAAGGAAAAGAAGAAATACGGTGGTGTGTAATGTTTGCAACAGAAAGCAAACAATCAGCGGTAGTAAGGCGATCAAAATGGCGGCTAATGCGACACCAGTGCAAACAGTGGCGTATGAACAGGAAGGAGAAACGGGGAGGGGGGGGGGGGGGTGGCGGTGCACGTGCACTAGCATTTCTAAGTCGGCGCAGTCAAATCGAACACAGACGCAGATTGAACTCGAATGCTGCGTCAGCTTTCCGCCTGCGACTCTCGTATTTAGTCAGTAAGGGGCACAAGTCCTAGTTGAACGTTAGCACAGCAGCACCCTTGTTTGAACTGTCTCTCGCCGTAGTTTGAAGTTTGAAGTTTGAAGTTTATTTGGTTTCTCACGGGCCAGGCCCGGTAGGGAGGTAGAGACAAAAGGCATTTCTGCCTGACTGGGCCTCTACCCCCCACAGTTCATTACAGCACAACTTGCATTAGTTGCCATATACGTAAAAAAAGTAAACAAAATACATACATCTACATAGCTACAAACATGCACACTTGTTACACAAAATCTGTCCTCAGATGAATATAATATTTCAAGAAATAAGAAAACAGTTTACAAATCGCTCTGAAATTCTAAACCTAGCTAGATAATGCCACACAAAGTTGACTATCATTCGTACGACATTCATTCGTAATCACTGACGTATAATCACAAAATAAACAAAGGAGCAAAAAAAAGAAAGAAAAGAAGCAAAATAAATAGGAAACAATTCACAAAACGTTTTAAAATTCTAAACGCAGCTAGATAATGTCACACAAAGATGACTACCATTTGTACGACATTGATTCGTAATCACTGACGTATAATCACAAAATTATCGCAGGAGCAAGAGAAAAAAAAGAAAGAAAATCACAAAAGATATGTACACAAAAGGTTACAGCCATGTAACAAACACATTCGTCATTGCAACACTGGTAGGCGCAAAAACAAAACAATTTCTACTACGCGTAATATATATCGTTGTGTACAAGGGTGTGTCTGATGTTACTTTTATATTTATTAAATGATACTGCAAAATCAGTACGCCCTTCAAAAATGTTTAGTAATGTAGGAACCTGATAATTTAGTTTTTGTTTTCCATAATTTGTCCTGACCTTAGGAGCCTTGTGTTTGGCGTTTCTGAGAAGATAGGGTTGCGATGGCACTTCATCCATTCGATAGAGTTTCTCTTTGTATATTGTCTGCATAAGTTTAAAGTAATAAATCTGGTTTGCTTTAAGCATGTTATGTTTTGCAAAATATAGACTGCTATAAAAATCACGAACATTTCCTTGATAGTTTTCTAAAATTCGCAGAACCTTTTTCTGGAGAATGATTAATTTGCTATAATTTGTGGAAGTGGTTGTCCCCCATGCCATAATTCCGTAACAGAGTTTTGAGTAAAACAAAGAGTAATATAAGTTTTTAATAAGCCATTTTGGTAATAAATTTGCTATTTTATATATACAGCCTAGTGTTCTCGATAGGTCCCCTTTTAATTTGCTCACGTGAGTGTTCCAAGTAAGTGTTTCATGAAACCAGACGCCAAGAAACTTTTGTTCTATAACCTGAGATATGGGAATGCTATTATATATCAGATGTATTACACTATTTTCGTGCTTATTGATAGGTCCAAATATAATGTACTTTGTTTTTTCCACATTTAGTTTAAGCGTGTTTGTTTCCAGCCAGTCTGAAAGTTCCTGAAGATAATCATTTGCCTGTTGATCTAAGGACACTTTTGTATTGCTGCAGAAGAAAACATTTGTATCGTCAGCGTACATCACCATATGTGGGGAATTTGGGATGTCTGTTATATCATTTATATATATGAGAAAAAGTAGTGGCCGCAGTATGGAGCCCTGGGGCACTCCATGTTTTATTTCTAATTGCCGAGAAGCTGCGTTATTGACATGTACAAACTGTTTTCGATTTCGGAGGTAGGACTTGATTAGGTCAGACGCTACGCCACGTACACCACAAGTCTGAAGTTTTGACAGTAAAATATTGTGTTGTATCGAATCAAAGGCCTTGCTCAAATCTAGAAATAACCCGAGTGTATATAGTTTATTTTCGATGTTGGTTATAATTATGTCTTTAATATTCGTAAGAGCAAGCTCAGTCGATTTGTCCTTTTGAAAGCCATATTGGGACCTAGTGATTACGTTGTATTTTGAAAAAAACCTTTGTAATCTAACGTTTATCACGCTTTCAAATATTTTTGAGAAAATTGGCAAAACAGATATTGGTCGGTATTTTTCTAGGTCATTTTTGTTTCCCCCTTTACGCACCGCACTAACCCTTGCGACTTTGAGTTCGTCTGGATATATTCCTGTTTGCAACATGTTGTTTATAATATGTGCCAGGACTGGGCTTATTATATTTGACACCATTTTAACTGGCAAAGGTTTTATTTCGTCAGCCCCAGCCGCTACACTCGTCTTTATATTTTTTATCAAATTACTAACTTCGCATGGGGAAGTTGGCTCAAGCATTATAGAGCTTGAGATATTTGAAGTTCTATTTGTGGAAGTGATTTTGCTGTCAGTTTCGCTTTCTCGCGGAGCACCAACGTTTATAAAATGCTCATTCAGTGTATTTGCAAGTTCTTCACCACCTATATTTCTACCGTTTATGGTTATGTTTTCCACACCACACCGGACGTAGTCTTTATTTGTTAAGCTATTAACCGTTTCCCACTGTTTCTTCGGGTTATTGTAAATACTATCAAACTTGCTCAAAAAGTATTCAGATTTTGCCCTTTTAAGGTCGGAACTAAGCTTATTCCTGATTTTTTTAAATTCACTCAGCAGCGCTTTATCACGCGACCTCACGAAACAATGGTACATGTTATTTTTTATTCTAATTCTCTTGTATAGGTCGTCATCCACCCATGGCTTACGGAGTTTGGGTTTTGACGTTTTTCCCTGTACTATAGGGAATGCACAATCATATAACTTCTTAAATTCACCTAAAAACTTGCTATAAGCAGTGTCCGCGCTTTCTTCTAAGTAAACGTCTGTCCAATCAAAACTCTTAACGAGTTCATGAAATATGCTAAGTGTTGTTTCGTTTATTTTTCGGTAGCAGTAATTAACTGGGTCAATTTTTTTGCCTTTTTTCGGACGGCGGCTTAGGCAGAAAATGGGCAGGTGGTCGCTAATGTCCTGTGTGCAAATTCCAGGGTATAGTTCAGTTTGGTTAATGTTTGTTATGCATACGTCTATTGATGTGGCACTCTCACTTGTTATTCTGGTTGGTAGCGATATCACGTTTGAACATCCATAGGACAGAATGAGGTCATTTAAATCGGTCGCGTGAGACTCATTTGCAAGTGTGTCGATGTTTATATCACCCATAACCATGGGTGATATAAACATCGTTGACGTAGATGATGCAATCCTTCTTTTCTACCTGGCCTTGGACAAGCGCCGATGGTAAAGATTACAAGCGAGAGGCCGACACCACCCAGAATAATAAAATCCCGCGCACAGACATTTTGATATGATCACAATTAAAATTATCGCCGACATATCTTGGACACGAGGACAGCGGCAGCGTTTTGCTGGGCCTAGTGTAGGGTCAACGCGTCGAAGGACGCTTGGCGTGGGGCCTGGCTCAGTTGCTGAACTGAGGTCAACAACGTGTGATTACGTTACGGGAGGGAGGGGGGGGGGGGGGGGGGAGAGGAGTCTGTTCAGAAAATTATTTTGTGGTCACGGACAGCTGAAAAAGGGAGAACGGGGCTAGCCCTCAGCATCTTATTCTTGCTCCGCAGTTACTGAGATGGCGACATTGGCCGGTAAGAAGACCAGGAACGAATGACCAAGTACCCCCAACGTTTCTTGAGCTGTGAATGGCTAGATGATGGCAAACGAGTGTCCCGGCATGAACTTGCACTCCGCAGCTACGTGGCCTGCAGGGTTGTAAAGTACCTAGGTACAGGTAACTAGAAATCGGTATCTAGGTACTTTCGCTGTACATATGGTACAAACCTAGGTACTTTCATTTCTCGGTATCTGTATATCTCTGTATATCTTAGGTACATTTTCCAGTAGCTTGTAACTGAGCGAAGTTACTTTTTACGGGCACTTTTCTATTCACTTCGTTTAAATGGTAGAAACTACAAATCTTGAAGTGTTGACACACTACAATGTGCCGTGATTAACGTTGAGTTAGATACGACCTGGGTGGCACTGACTTGATCGAACGACGTTTTAGTGAACGGAGCCCTGCCCCTGATGTTTAATGGAACCTTAATTATTGTTATCTTGTTTGGGGCACAACCACCCGCATAAATCTTCAAAAAATACTCCTACTAAAAAAAGACATATATATATATATATATATATATATACGTCTCATTGAGAATGCTTCTTACGACTCCAGCACCCAGGGACTGTTCCTAAAAAATAGTATACTTCCTGTTTACAGCATGTGCAAGTATAGACTCGCGATCAGTTTCAAGTTAGAAAATGGAAGAAATGGGAATTGTTTAGTAATCCTTGCGGAGCTAAAAGAGCATGCAACTTCGTACCCAACTCGGTCGGCGGAACATTGGACTGTGCCACTGTGTCATGACAACTATTTTATGCAATCACTCAAACACACACTTCCTACTATGTTGAACACCCTAATAAAGAATAACATTGATATTACTTCTTTGCAGTTCAAGAATTACGAACTCAACTAATGTGGGGCGAAAACGAATGAATTAATTTCTGAAAACTGTTTGATCTTTTATTTTTTTTTATTTTGCTTTTTTATGTCGGTTTCTGAGTGTTTTTCGCTGTTGCTTTGTTTTGACTTCTGTATATGCTACTAGAAGAGAGCAAGGGGTTCCGTCAAGCTGTTCTTAGAGCTTTTAGGGGCGAGGCTCCTTAGGGTCTAGCCTTGTCCGTCCGTCTGTCCGTGCGGCCGGCCGGTGTCCGTGCTCATATAAAAAGAAAAAAATGTTTGCGCAGTCGACAGGATTGGAACCTGTGCAGGGAGACCCCAATGGATTTCTGGTCCATCGCCTTAACCACTCGGCCTCGACTCCGGGACGAGTAGGGGGCTCTGAGATGTGGTAGTAACTCAAGAACTGGGGTTTCTGTCATGGATGAAACGTTGCATGTAGCCGCTCAACGTCTATACAGGAGAGGGCGCTGCGGTCAAATTCTCAAATATGTATATTACCACGTTCCATACCACTTAATGCGGTCGACGCCTTCCGGGCCCGTCGACGTCAGCACCGGCTCACGTTAATGAGGTTTTCCTTATTTCTCGCATTGACACCAATAAAGTAATTTATCGAACTCGTTTTTATATGTATCCTCAGTACAAAAACCTTTACTTCCAATATATTCGAAAACTTTGGGGAAAATAAAGGAAGTATATTTGAAGTAACTGTACCTGTACCTAGGAACATTTTTTATGCGAGTACATAGTTCCTTACGTAGGTACCTTTTTTGTGTAAGGAACTGTAACTGTATCTTAGGTACATCTTTGAAGTAACTTTTTTAGCCCTGCTGGCCTGGTGTCATGCTGTAGTGTTGCTCCCTTCGCAGGCGAGCCCCAACCTGGGCGTGGACTTCTTCAGCTCAAGCAGAGCCAACGTGAGGCGGTACTCCGCGGCCGCCGTCTGCGGCGCCGCAGGAATTCCCAACGCCGCCAATCAGGCCTCGAGTTTTCTGCAGCAAATTGGCTCTGGTGTTGTACGTACCGCCCCCTACACTGTTCACCTGCGTCTGCTGCCTGCTTCGCCGTGGCATGAGTGTGTGGGCCTTGTCTCTTGCGTTGCGTGGCCATGAAGTGTGTGGCGTTTGCGTTGGGTGTTTCGTTCACATTGCGTTCAGGTTGCGTTGAATTACGTTGAATTGCGTTTTCGCGGCTCCGGGCTGGCGCTTTGCTGCGCTCCGCTAGCACGGCGTGGCGCATCTGCCTGATGGGCTCCTTTTTTGCGCTGCGTCGAACTCCGATGTCCCTGATGAACAATTGAAAACTGCGTCGCATCTTGCCGTTTGCGGCCGATGGCTTTGTTAGTGGGACTTAATTAATTGAGTGGAGTAACACACAACGTTCTTCCTTTTCGTTTTAAGTAAGGGTTAGCTGGAATTTATTTTCTTAACAAAAATGGTTATAGACTTTTTGATATTTTAATAAACTTTCTTTTCAAATCCGGTTTAAATATATAAGCTTGCAATGTTTTAAATTACAAATCTGCTAGCTTGCCTCATATGTTTAAGGATTACTTTCTGTGTGAGTAATCTTTAGGTTGGTTTATTTTATTTTTATTTGTAGCTATACTATTATTCTTTAAAATATTTCACAGTATAAAAGCACCGTTACGTGCGCGCATCCGTATCTCCTGCGAAGCCATTGCACCAAAAGGTACTCTCAGTTACTTTCATAAAACACAAGTAAAGGAAAATTATGACGTTTTGACGAATTATTACACTTGTAAACAATGAGCATGGTGTGAACTCGGTCAATCTTTCAGTCGCTCTACCTTAACAGTTCGCGACATAAAAACGCTTGTGGCAGTGTTTGCTGCAGAAACGGCCATTTTCTTCGTTCGGGCTGATATGGTAGGTGCCTGTTTTAGTGCGCGTAAGACATGTCTAGAGACTGCCGCAAGGGAATGATAACAGTATGTACGCGTTTGCTTTGGAAGCCTTCGTTATACCTAAAAGTCATTCAAAGCTTGCTTCCACTATTCCATCATTTTATGACACAAGCAAGCCAGAAAACCCTTCCTAGAGAAGCTTTCAACAGAGACAATTGAAGTTTTCGTAATGTGAACATGAGATCATTTGGATGATATCGGTTCAGAAAGCACCCACGTGTTTTTTTATATTGTCACCATGACATTTTTCCGTTAGTTCGACATGCAACCTATTTATTTTGTCATAAACAACAGTTCACCTCTTGCCTAAATATCTGAAGAATCAGCCTCAGACATTTCGAGGAACAGTTTCAGATTTTTCAATGTTCTTATAGCACGACAAATATTTTTGACGCAGCCGATAACTTCGTACACTAAAAGTCTTCCAAAGTTTCCAATGTGCCTGATTGTCGTCAATAATATGGCTTCTTCAAGGGTGGCAAGCTTTGAATGGACTATTACGTTCGCGAATGCTTTCAAACAAAGGAATGCAGAACGGCTGTTAGTAGTTGGGTAGTTTGTGCTCGTTTTTGTGCTGTCCTGTGTTTTCTTGCTCTGGCTTTGGTAAGCACGCTACACTCTAAAAAGCGCCATTACGATCAGGCTCATGCCTCTGAGCTACCAACAACAGACTGTTGGTTTGTGTCAGGACTACCTGTTCAAGATGCCATGAGTGTCAATGCACGATTGTTCCTGGTATTCGGAGTAAGCTAACATGGAGCAAACTACGAGCTAATTCGGCCAACAGTTTTATCACCTGGAGATTTTTAGAGTGTATTGGGAGAGAGAGAACATAATTAACATTTAAGCACATTAGCTACGATATCCCCTCATTTCGTGAGACTAGCCTTAAACCGTAATCGTATGTACCCAATCGTTTCATGCATGTCTAAATTACTGCGGGAATTCCGTATACATGACGAAGGTTTCACTGACTGGTCCCCAGAACGCCTCTAAATCGTCAAGCAGCACTCAGTGGTTCCGAAGAAAAGTACTACCTTGGCTTGGTTTGAGGTTTGCGTAAGGGCAGGTGGCTAAAAGCAGATATTATGGTAGTTATATAGTCGTTGTACTAGGCTAGAACTTACGTAAGTGCTACGTTGAAGACCTATGCAAATTGTTCGAAGTTTCCTTTGCTCTAAAGTAAGGGAATTAAGGTCTAACCGCACTCACACATTGAACGTAAATATTTAAGCAAAAACTTACCTGCTCGTTTCACCGTACCCTCATTGTGTTTCACAATAGTATCATGAAATTCTTAACATATCCGGTTATGTGCACAACGATGTTTGTCCTATGCATCCTAGTATTCTTTCGTGGATGATCGCCGAGTCAAAAACTTCTTACTCAAGTAAAGCAAAGCCTTTACGATAATTTTATTTCCCATTCTTCACCATTGCAGACAGTGCGCTTGAACAAGAGAAAACGCAACTCTGAGCCAGTTCTTTATCTCTCGTATTCTCTAAGCTGTTCGTAGGACTGCAAAGCTAGGTGCTTAATCTTTATGTCAATATTTCTTCATTACACGGGGTTGCTGAAGGTGTAGGCCGATCTTTAGCTACTCCTGTTTGGCGCTTGGACCAAGAACAGCGTCATGGCCATTAAATGCGCTAAGACCAAGAGCAGGGGCCCAGGCTCCTCTTTCGGTCCCATTGAGAGTCTGCCAAACGGATTGATTGCCCATTGGGAACCAGTCTCTAGCCTCCGCGTCCCTCATTCCAAAAGCAGAATTCAGACGTCCGCAACCACACTCCGAATCAAAAGAACAAAGACCGGCCTCCCCCCCTCTGTTGTCTGTTCGTCCCCAGCGCGGACCCAGAGGGACGGCTGAGCCGCATAGCGCGTGCCTCTCTCTCTCTTTTTCTTTCCTGCTTCCAGTCGCAGCTGTTTTCCGGAAAATAGCTCGCGTCAGGAGCCGCGGTGCCCCCGCGCCCAGGCCAGGGTTCGGGAGCAGACAGACAAGGGGACACACGACAGCATCCCGAGCCGCCGAGAATGCGAAGAAAAAAGCTCGATGCCGACCTATCTGCGATCTCTCTCCTCCTCTTCAGCATTTGCCAGTGCCGCCGCCTGCGTCTCCAAGATCACACTCACCAAGGTCGCTCTCGCCGGGGTCGCTGTCGCCCAGATCCCTGTCCCCGAGGTCGTCCCCGAGGTCTCCCAGGTCACCTTCCTCTCGGTCGCCCTCCTTGAGGTCGCCGTCGTCCAGGTCGCCGCCCTCGCGGTCGCCTTCTTCGAGGTCGCCGTCGCCACGAGGGCATACCCGTCGTCTTCTGCCCCAGCCGCGACCGACCGTTAGTAACGCGACCATAGCGTGAATGTCGCGCCCCTGAAGGTTTCCGTGTACAAGCCAACACCTCGTAGAGCACAAGGAGCGTAGTGCTAGAGTTTCCACGCCGCCTACAGGAAGCGAGCGCGGGGTTATTAAGATGGAGGCTTCAGCGAGCTGGTAATTCACTATTGGAGGCAACTGCGCTAAAGGACAATGACAACAGGGGAGACAAAGAAAAACAAAAAACTCCCTTCTTTGTCTTTTTTGTGTGAATCCTCTTTTGCTCTGCTCTTTTTGCGCTCCTGTTTCCTATTCTTGATTTTTGATGGTAAGTCAAAAAGACCGCAGCAGAATCAAAAGACGGACCAGTTGCTACATTGCAGGATTACTAAAAGCGCCATTGAACAAGGACTAGAAGGGAAAAAAAGAAACAGTGCATCGTTAGCCTTTCTTTTCAAATTGTTCTCTTGTGTTTTTAGTGTTCCAGAAAGAAGACCGCGGGCACAGACTCGAGTGCTGATTTAACATTCGGCTGGGACTCATGTTCTCACTGATTAAGCACGAGTTCCAGCCGAACGATAACGATGCACTCGAGTTCAATCTGTATTTCCTCTATCTCCTTTCGTAGGCGACGTGGAAAATTCAGCACTACGCAGTTCTGTCCAAATGCTGTTGTTTAGGCGCCATCCGCACAGGTCCCGTCGTGCGGTGCCCGACACGCGCCCTCAGCCACATTTCCGTGGATTCCAGGAGTGCGGGAGAAGTGTATTATCACTCGGCAAATTTGGCGCAAGGTGGATGCCGGACCCGATGCGACGGTTCTGTGTGGTTTGGGATTTAGGCGAGGCTGGAAGTTGGGATACTGCTCACAGCTGGCACTGATTTCGTGACATGAGAGCAGAAGATGTTCCCTGGTTTGGAGTGGGTCTTACGAAATCCCGAGTCTTTGGGCTTTATAAAGTTGTTTGCTTATTTAATAACCTACTAGTTTGTTGATTTATTTACCTCAGTCGTAAAGTCTTCGATCAAAGGGGAAAGGGGTACAACAAATAAATTATGAACACGTAAACTTACAAACAGCATGGAAGGGAGCACTGAATTTAGTACAAGAATAGCAATAGCGAGAATAATATTTAATGAATATTCTTTAAGCCAATGACAGGTAATGCCACTGGAACAGAACGGCGGCGTGCTCAAACCAGTGGAAATTTAATACCTGGCCCGACTTCAAAAGGCGGCTTCCGGTTCATTGTGCGGTTTATCTTAGCGAAGCCTAAGATAACTCACTCGATGAGAGGCCATTGGGTCATAACGTATGTTATAATAGTATTAAATAGCTTGGCCAGCCTTGATTTGCGAATATACTCACTTTGAAACAGGATTATTTCAAGCTAAATTGAAACTGAGCTATCCTGAAGTAGGTTTATAATGTGCTGCGTGGAAGTTACGAATATCAGTTTGGACCTGACTAAGCCTAATCAGTCCGGCATCGGCTTTTTTTTTTTCTCTAAAACTTCACCTGGTACTTTTTTTTTTCTTAGAGCGTAGCTCTTAGGCGCCCGTTTCCGAGTTGAGCGCCATCGCCGTCGCCGTCGGCGTAACCGCGTGTAATCACACGTGACGTCAGGTGTGACACCACGAGAGTCATGTGTGACGTCACGAGGGTCACGAGTGACATCTCGAGGCTCACGAGTGACGTCTCGTGTGATGTCACGAGCACCACGAGTGACGTCACGTATGTCGTTACGAGGTTCACGAGTGACGTCACCCTCGTGACGTCACCCTCGTGACGTCACACGGGCATACCTTCCCCTCTTCTTTTCCTCCTCGAGAGCTGCGCACTAATCCAGTATTACAGAGAATCGTAAACATCTTTTTTCTTTTTTAACTTTATTTCTTGAATATTTATTTTCTCTCATCGGTTTCCCTGTTTTCGTAGCACGGATGTTGCTTAAAAAGTATTTTTTTTGGATATCTACTAAAATAATTATTTATTTCTTTGCTGCCCGCTCATACTGAGTTAATAAAAATATACACTAAAAAGTAACAGGTTGGTTTCAATAAGCGCACTTACTGCATTGCCTCAACAAATAAACGAAAACTTACGCGATAGGTCCATTACACTTTTTATAATTTATTTATTATGATTATTATATATTACAAAATGCAAGTGGAGGAGTTTAATGTTCCCAAATTCTCAAGATGGGTTTTCAAATCTATATATTCATTAAGATGTTTAATGAAGTATATCGAGAGCTTATAAGTACAAAGGGATACAAAACTTGAATATAGCACCGTTACAAGTATATCAGGAAACAGACAGTTCTGAGCTTGAGTTGTTTGTGTAAAATAATCTTATTCGGGCGTCTTCTACCTTCATGTGACCCAGAGTGACCCAGGCCCCACTTCCAGCCTTTCCATAAAAGAACCTTGTTGCAAACTCCATCCTGTCACCAGCAATACAATGTAAACCCGAAAATGATCTATCCTTCACGCAAGTCTGTAATATCTCCTCAGCGTTACCAAGCTATTAACCTAACAGTTTAATGGCTGCACCGACTCCTGTACCGAGGCTAAAAGCGGCAGCACCTTGTGAATCTCAGCTCTACCCCCAGACAGCCCATAGGAGTGGCATCGACTGTGACAACATTGCACATGCTGACCGTTTTGTCTTTACAAAGACAAATAACTTTCAAAGACAACTAACGCACCTGCTGTTTGCTCTGTTTGGTTTCACTGTGACGGAACACTTTCAGTTACTGACGCTTAAGAGAAATCCTATTGTATACCTTCGTGATTACGGAGAGTTATGAATGTCACTAAATGTGAATAAGAACTTGTATGTTGGGACTAAAAATATAATTTGTTGATTGTTGAGAAGATAAATCGTTCCTCTGAGGAGCCGCATGATATACGGCTGACGGCTTGTAGCATAGTTCACATGCTAAAGGCAATTTTTAGCGTCATTTGGACATAAGCATTAAGAAATCAGGTGCTGAACAACTGATTTCAGAACAATAAATGCCATGTTAATTAAACGATAACATATGTCGATAACAGAAATGTAAGTTTATGTCTAGTGAATGTAAAGAACATCATATATTAGTTGTTGTTTCTTTCTCTTTTTTTGTACATTAGCTAAAACCCGCACGGAGAAGAATCGAAAACTAAGAAGTGAATCGAACGTATCAGGTTCCCGATCATCGAACTTGAAGACCTGACAGGGCCCCGAGCGCGTCCAAGGTTATCAATGTACGCAATTTAGCTATTTTATCCTTCCGATCACCGCTCAGTCGGATTCAATTGCGATGACATGGTAGAAGACGACATTACACCTACCTTTCCACCAGCCGTCGTCACTAAACCAACTCTTTCCACATGTCAAGAACCCGAACCGTACAAGACAACACCCCTGACAACCTTCCATAGGGAAGAAAACTCCTAAGTCGGGTCATGTGTAGCAAATGAGGAACAATCACACACAACTTTAAAAATTCCTGTTCCACACTCGGCTCTGCATTACTCGAGGTGCAGGCAATGAATTAGCTGAGCCTAGCATTTGCCCTTTTTTCAACTACCGTCGGCTTCGCCCAACCCGACTCCCGCGTTGTTCCTTCCACGGCACTTTCGTCCCTATGGAAACGCCAGCTTATGAGTGTTCACCACTGTCAAGGTCTATGCAAGCGCGATTCTTGTACAAATCATGTGCGTGCGTAACTTTCACCTATGACACGTGGGGCGCACGGCACCTTCTTTTCTCCTTCTTTTGAATTGTGCGTTGGCAAGCGACATCTAGTATGCCCAAAATGTAGTAGTACGCTTTCCGACAAAGCCCCGAGTCCCGTGCCATGACGTTTTTCTGTGTGTCGCAGTCCCCGTATTGCTGTCGTTGATTTCTGACAATCCATCTGCTGATCTGTCTCTTCAAGCTTCTGACGAGGTGGACCGTTCTGAGTGGATTTGTTCGCGCATCAGAAGCAGCCATATAAACTCGAAAAGGCGCTAACCTCAGGCGCCTCGCCGCCATAAGACTTAGCGTTCGCCATTTGTACATGGTGTGTCTTACGTCCCATGTTACCGCGTGGGTGTGTATTGCTGTTGACCAACCATTTTATTCTATGCCGATGTTACCAGAACCTACCGTTAGGCCACTAAATCGTTACGGATGTTGCTAACTTCAAATGTTTAGCGTTGCTGAGTGGTAAAAGCGGCATCATCAACCCTACGTAACCTTCGTTACGTTTGCATTGAAAGCTTTTTGGAACGTTATCAGGTGAAATTATGACTCGCTCATTGTTATTATACCAGTCTCACCGTACAACCTGAGAAAAAAAGTGTTTAATGGTGGCCAGTTTGTCATTTGTCCTCTGTTACGCGCTCCAAATAGGTCGATGTTGTTGCTTAACATTGCACTGAAACTATATTAGTACCGTGTACAAAATCCTAGGTGTTCATATGACAAAGCAGGTGAATATCCAGGCTTGCGAGGAACACCTCAAACCTTGTTTGTAAATTCGTGTATAGTGTTTGTCGACCTTGTGTGTCTAACCCTATCACAGGCAAACCTGAGCGTTGTACAAGAAACAGACAGCCGTCATTACTGAACGAAACCTTGTCCCTCCTAAACTACTTTTGCATAAATCGTCCAGAAATTTGATCGTCTTTCTGAAGACAAGCTCTACTCACGCCTGAAAAGTTTGGTCACTTGTTTTAAAACGCATACGGGTAGAAGCTGCTGCCTGCGGAAATTCCACTCTTTCACACAAACTAGCTTTTTCGGCCTACGGCAGCAGTCATGTCGCAGCTATTTCGCCACAAAAACCAAACAAATTTGCCCTGAAACGCGAATATGTCAAACATATCATAAAAACACACCCGTGTCACACACAGATTCAGGCGGAAAGCCTAGTGGGCAGCAGTATGCTTCAAACGTTTAATTAAGCATAGCCTCTTCGTAGAAAAAGCACCAGAACGGACTGATATTGGCCTGGCTTGGCCCTCATTGTTGTTTAAAAGGAGGGAATTATCTTTTATGACCGTACCTAA